CCGAATAGGTGGTGCCGTCGCAGCGCGCAGGCAGCAACAAAGCGGCTGCACTGTAGGTCCACGAGCAGCTGCCCGAAGCGGCAGCAGCAACAACAGCGGAAGGAACCGGAAGCGATGCAGCAGCAGCAGCAGCAGCAGCAGCAGCAGCGCGAGAAGCAAGAGGAGCAACAGACACCGGCGTGGCTGCGAGGGCGCAAAGAGCTTCTCTTTCTCCGCAGGACTTCTGTCTTGAATTGAAAAGAGGGAAAAGACAGAAGAAAAGTTGAGAAATGTGTTTGCGGGCAAGGGTCCCCGCCGCGCGTGCGAAAGGTCCCGGGGGGCCCTTCCGAGGTTTTCCCGCGTTTCAACGCCAAAACGAACCGCTTTTCGCGGTTTGACGGACTTTTCGACGTGATTTTCGAATTCAAAATTTAATTTCGACCCAAAAAATGGTTTCGGCCACAAATTTGACCCCCAAAAAGCCCAAACTCAACCCACCTCGTACCCCAACTGCTGCAGAAAACCCGCACACTCCAGCGCTATGTAACTGCCCCCAACAACAAGTCTGCAAATAAAACAAACAAATAAATAAATAAATAAATAAAAATAAATAGAAATAAATAAACATAAATAAATAAATAAATAAATGAATAAATATAAATAAATAGATGAATAAATAATATTAATTAATTAAATAGTTATTCAATTGTTTAGTTATTTAACTTGTTTGGTTGGATGGGCTTTTGTTTGAGAAGAGCAGCAGCAAAAACGCGAAAGAGAGAAATTAAATGTTTAAAAATAAATTGAATTTAAAATAAATAAGTAATTAAGATTAAATTTAAAATAATAAATATAATTAAGATTGAATTCAAAATAAATAAATAATTAAAATTGAATTTAAAATAATTAAATATAACTAAGATCAGATTTAAATAAACAATTAAAATTGCATTTAAAATAAACAAAGAATTAAGACTAAATTCAAAATAAACAATTAAAATTAAGTTCAAAAAAATAATTAACATTAAACTCAAAATAAAAGAAACAACAAAAAGATAAATCTCAAGTAAAAAGGAATAATTAAAATTACATTTAAAATAAAAGGGAATAATAAAAAGATAATTTTAAAAACAAAAAAAATAACCAAAAGATAAAACGAGAACCACAAAAACCAAAAATCAAAAAAAGAAAAACGGAAAATCAAAAAGAGAATTAAGAGACAATTAGAAAGACAATTAGGAGACAATTAAACAGACAAAAAGGAGACAATTAAAAAGACAATTAAAAAGGCAATTAAGACATAATTAAAAGGACAAAAAGGAGACAAAAAGGAGACAATTAAAAGGACAAAAAGGAGACAAAAAGGAGACAATTGAAAAGATAATTAGGCGGCAAAAAGGAGACAATTAAAAAGATAACTAAGAGACAAAGATGCGACACTTAAAAGGATAATTGAAAGACAAAAAGGAGACAATTAAAAAGAGAATTAAGAGATAATTAAAGAGACAATTAGGAGACAATGAAAAAGACGAAAAGGAGACAGAAAGGAGACAGAAAAGCAGGCCAAGTGTCCCAAAAAGAGTCCAAAAAAGCCAAAAAAGAGTGAACAAAAACACAACCAAAGAGACTATAAAGGAGACAATAAAGGAGACAATTAGGAGACAATTAAAAGACAATTAAGGAGACAATGAAGAGACAATTGAGGAGACAATTAGGAGAAAATTAAAGCGCCGAAAAGGAGACAATTAAGGAGCCAGAGGGAGGCAAAACAGCAAAAAAAGTCCGAAAGAGTCCAAAAAAGTCCAAAAAACGTCAAAAAAAGCCACGAAAGAGCAAAAAAAAGCGCAGCTAAAGAGACAATTAAGGAGACAGTAAAGGAGACAATAAAGGAGACAATTGGAGAGACAATTGGAGAGACAACTGGGGGCCAAATTGAGCGGAAAAAGGGGACAATTAAGGAGCCAAAGGGAGGAAAAGCGGCAGCAAAAAGTCTAAAAAGGTCCAAAAACGGTCAAAAATGGCGCCAAAAAAGCCGAAAAAAGGCAAATAAAAGCGCAAATAAGGAGACAACAAAAGGGAGAATTAGCGAGACAGATCGGAGACAATTAAAGAGACAACTGAGCGGAAAAAGGAGACGCTGACGTCTTTCCGGGACTTTGTTTCAAACTGAAGATCTCGTCGGAAGTGACGCAGAACTCGCGGGCCCCGGGGACCTCCGGGGGCACGTGGGGGCGCCCGCCGACGGCGAGCAGCAGGTGCTTCGCGGAAACTTCTTTTTTCTGCATTTGAAATAAAATAAATCGAAAAGGAGAAGCAAAAAGATGAAACGCGCAGCAGCATCGAACGCGCCTTGCAACGCAACACCTGCTGCGCTTTTTCCCGCGCAAAAACACCCGCTTTTCGCTAAGCTGCGCCCACAAACTGCTGCTGCTGCTGCTGCTGCTGCTGCTGCTGCTGCTGCTGCTGCTGCTTTCTTTTTGTGCTGCTTTCGCTGCGGCTTCTGCTGCTGCTGCTGTCGCTGCTTTCTTTTCGCGCTGCTTTCGCCGCTGCTGCTTCTGCTGCTGCTGCTGCTGCTGCTGCTGCTGCTGCTGGCTATATTAATTTGATTCGGCAGCAGCAAACTCACAACTCCCTTTTCTTCATACTCCACCGTGTGGGGCCCCACAAGCCGGGCCAAGGCTCGGGTGTACGTACACCCCGCATTCTGCAGGCCCACGCGGTAGCTGAAGTTCAGCTGCTTTATGTAAGACTGCACTCTCTGAGCAGCAGCAGCAGCAGCAGTAGCAGCAGCAGAAGCAGCAGCAGAAGCAGCAGCAGAAGCAGGAGTAGCAGCAGCAGAAGCAGCAGCAGAAGCAGCAGCAGAAGCAGGCGGCAGAAACAAGCAGCGGCGGCAGAAGCAGCAGCAGGAGTAGCAGCAGAAGCAGCAGCAGAAGCAGCAGCAACAGCAGCAGCAGCAACACACAAAATATTCGGCGGTTAATTTGGCAATTTGCAGCTAGTTATTCAGTTAGTTAGTAACAGAAATACATAAAAAGTTAAACCCTAAACCCTAAACCCTAAACCCTAAACCCTAAACCCTACATCAGAGTATAGGGGTTAGCGTTTGAGGAGTGAGTCTTCTATCTGACGAGTTAGCAGAAAAGTTAAGCAGCAAATTAGGGTTTAGGGTTTAGGGCATCGGCAGAAAACTAGGGTTTGTGGCCGCAGCAGCAAATTAGGGTTTAGGGTTTAGCGCGTCAGCGGTAGATTAAGGTTTAGGGTTTAGGGTTGAGGGTTTAGGGGTACCTCGACGAGGGTTTGCCAGTCGCAGGGTTTGAGTTGGTTTTCTGGAAACCCTGAAAAAGGGTTTAGAGCGACGTAAGGGTTGCAGCCAAGCATGGGGGCTTCCCAAACCCCAAATTGGCGAGTTTGAGCAGCAAAGTGCAGCAGCTTTTTTGGAATGCATCCAACATTAACACAAGTCCCTCCTAAACCCCAACTCAAACCTCTAATTGAGGGTTTTACAAAGTCCAACACCAAAACCCTAGCCCCTAGCCCTGCTGCTTGCTTCCCGCTCGCCAAACCCCCAGAACCGCCCCCAATCACTGCGCACACACCACAAACCCTAAGCCCTAAACCCTAAACCCTAAACCCTAAACCCTAAACCCTAAAGCCTGAGGAATAGGCAACAAACATGCAGCAGACCTCTGGCGCACGGAGCACTCCATGAAAGCAAAACACGGTAACAGCCGAAACCCTAAACCCTAAACCCTAAACCCTAAACCCTAAACCCCAAACCCTAAACCCTGACCCCGAAACCCCGTAAATGAGCGATTGCTTACCAATGTAGTCGTAGTCAAATTTCTCAGTTGAGCCCATCTTGCAAACTCCAAACCCTTAACCCTAAACCCTAAACCCTAAATCCTCAGACTGAGGTGGTAGACCACAGCAGCAGCAGCAGCAGCAGCAGGAGAAGCAGCAACAACTGGACAGCAGCGAATGAGTCTCTTGATGGTATTTGTTGAACCAGAAATAATTTGGAAAAGACAAAAACGCCAACAACAGCACGCACCGACACTGCATGCAGCAGGTGCAGGAGCAGCAGCAGCAGCAGCAGCTGCTGCTGCTGCTGCTAGTGAAGCCCTCGAGGCAGCAGAAGCAACAAAAAGAAAACAAAAATACCTTTAATGTATTTATTTAATTACTTTCTTTATTAAGGAAGGGGAAGCAAATAGGGAGGGCCAACACCCGCGAAAGACACGCAGCAGCAGCAGCAGCAGCAGCAGCAGCGACAATAGCAGCAGCGACTGCAGTGGCTTCAGCAGCAGCAACTGCAGCAACAGCAGCAACAGCAGAAACAGCACCTGAAGAGACACAAGCATCTATCGAAGACAACCCGAGTCAGCAGGAAGAGAGGCAGCAAGGCAAGCAGCAGCAGCAGCTGCTGCTGCTGCTGCGGCAACAGTTTGCTGCTGCTGTGCCAGCATGACACACACCTACGGGGTCGGCCGTTAGCTGCAGCAGCAGCAAGAAGCAGCAAGCAGCAGCAAGCAGCAGCAGCAGCTCAAGCAGCAGCCGCCGCCGAAACGGCAGCAGCAACAACCAAAATAGCAACAGCAGCAGCAGTGCTAACTGCAGCAGCAGCAGCAGCATCTAAAACAGCAGCAGGAGCACTAGCTGCAGCAGCAGGTCCGGTCGTACTCACAGCAACAGCAGGAGCAGGGCTCGCGGTAACAGCAGCAGCAGCCGAACTAACAGCAGCAGCAGCAGCAGCAGCAGCACGGGAGCAGCATGGAAGAGCCTCTAAACGCTTTCGCCAGGGGCAGCTCATGGCTGTCTTCTGTTTTGGGGCCCTACGACGTGGTGCAGCAGCAGCAGCAGCAGCAGCAGCAGCCGGCTGCAGCAGCAGCAGCAACAGCAGCAACAGCAACAGCAGCAGCAGCAGACCCTGCGTCCCCGTGGCTCCTGTGCAGAGAGGCGCTGCTAAGCACAAACTATAGAGACCCTGTAGTGGTTGGTGTGCTGCTGCTGCTGCTGCTGCTGCTGTTGCTGCTGCTGCTGGTTGCACGCAGCAGGAAGCTGCGGTATCAGCTGAGCTTGCTGCTGCTGCTGGGGGGGTGTCTCTGCAGCTCGCAGCAGCTGCAGCAGCAGCTCTTTGCACACCGACTGCAGCAGCAGCAGCAGCAGCAGC